TGCATATTATCACCATTACCCTGATTACTGACATTGATATTAATATGTTATTCTATATGCCACGTGCATATTATCACCATTACCCTGATTACTGACATTGATATTAATATGTTATTCTATATGCCACGTGCATATTATCACCAATACCCTGATTACTGACATTGGTATTAATATGTTATTCTATATGCCACGTGCATATTATCACCAATACCCTGATTACTGACATTGGTATTAATATGTTATTCTATATGCCACGTGCATATTATCACCATTACCCTGATTACTGACATTGATATTAATATGTTATTCTATATGCCACGTGCATATTATCACCATTACCCTGATTACTGACATTGATATTAATATGTTATTCTATATGCCACGTGCATATTATCACCAATACCCTGATTACTGACATTGGTATTAATATGTTATTCTATATGCCACGTGCATATTATCACCATTACCCTGATTACTGACATTGATATTAATATGTTATTCTATATGCCACGTGCATATTATCACCATTACCCTGATTACTGACATTGATATAAATATGTTATTCTATATGCCACGTGCATATTATCACCAATACCCTGATTACTGACATTGATATTAATATGCTATTCTATATGCCACGTGCATATTATCACCAATACCCTGATTACTGACATTGATATAAATATGCTATTCTATATGCCACGTGCATATTATCACCAATACCCTGATTACTGACATTGATATTAATATGCTATTCTATATGCCACGTGCATATTATCACCAATACCCTGATTACTGACATTGATATTAATATGCTATTCTATATGCCACGTGCATATTATCACCAATACCCTGATTACTGACATTGATATTAATATGTTATTCTATATGCCACGTGCATATTATCACCAATACCCTGATTACTGACATTGATATTAATATGTTATTCTATATGCCACGTGCATATTATCACCAATACCCTGATTACTGACATTGATATTAATATGCTATTCTATATGCCACGTGCATATTATCACCAATACCCTGATTACTGACATTGATATTAATATGCTATTCTATATGCCACGTGCATATTATCACCAATACCCTGATTACTGACATTGATATTAATATGCTATTCTATATGCCACGTGCATATTATCACCATTACCCTGATTACTGACATTGATATTAATATGTTATTCTATATGCCACGTGCATATTATCACCAATACCCTGATTACTGACATTGATATTAATATGTTATTCTATATGCCACGTGCATATTATCACCAATACCCTGATTACTGACATTGATATTAATATGCTATTCTATATGCCACGTGCATATTATCACCAATACCCTGATTACTGACATTGGTATTAATATGTTATTCTATATGCCACGTGCATATGCATATTATCACCATTACCTTTATGTGCCACGTGCATATCATCACCATTACCCTGATGTATAACACTTATGTATGCTACATCAGTTACATCCTCACATTGTGTTATGTGTTGTATTTAATATCGCTCTATTGGTTCATGATATATGTCCCAGTTCCCTCTATCACAACGGTTGGAAAGAGATAATGATTAAATCCCACACGCCCTGAGTCTATGATTACACAAAGATATCTGTATTGATATTGGTATTAAAAACCACCCAAATCCATATACCAGTAACAACCTGTTACATTTTGAAATGTGCAAAATTCACAATGTCAATGTCAATGTCTTGTTCCGACTTAAGAAGCAACTGCAGGTATTTGAATTTGAATTATGATTCTGCGTATTTGTATTCACGGTGGTAAATTATTGTGACGCTAGTGTTAATTGGAAGGACGTCTGAGGACCATAGTAAGGCTTTAAAAAAGTTGTGTGGGGATATTTCAGTATTTAATGCAGAAGTGACCATAATGATGTCCGATGGAATCCCCTATTTTGACTTGTGCAATATGTACCCGTGTTTGTTCAGGTGAAAAATTCACTTGCCGTTGCATGTATTTGTTACGGGTGCTACCGGTGGGACAGGGTATGCTAACCCATTCTTGAACGCCTGGTATCACTAACTAATAGTGATTCATAAACAAATCCTTATGATAGAGAGGGGAGGAACATATGTTTATGTGTTCCTCATTATAAAGTTGACATTCATAAATTCTCTACCTTATGTGCATCACTTCTAAATGCCTTTCAAAAACTTGTATTTGACGCAAGTATTGATAGAAAAGGCGCCAAGATGAATACATTGAAGTCATTTTATAAACATGAGACCGGAAAATAGGCACACAGATTTATTTAACCGTAACACGTGTTACAAGTGCGTTACGTCATAAATAGACGGTAACAATCACACCCGTACGCTTAAACATCAATCCTGCCCCCTGTGAGTAATACCCACACGATGAGCATCCACTGTGCGTCCCTCCCGCACCCTCTCCGCTCTCTCACAGCGCTGTACAGGGGACAGATTGACAGCCGTGTACCTGTCGCCAGCTATTGATGTGGAGAAACAGGTTGTGGGGAACGGGTTCACCTTGTCTGACGACCTGAATAACTCAGTAGGCGGGAGGCTGGGGCTGGAGGAAACACCTAGTGGACCAGGACACGTAGAGAAATATGTATTTATATTTCATATTGTGACACTTATTAGAATTTTTTGAAATTACCATGTTTTATTGTTGTTGTTGTTGTTGTTGTTGCTGCTGTTTGTTGTTTATCGCCGCACTCAGCAATATTCCAGCTGTATGATCGCGGTCTGTAAATGGTTGAGTCTGGACCAAACAATCCAGTGATTCACATCACGAGCATCGATCTACGCCATTGAGATACGATGACTTGCATCAACCAAGTCAGTGAGCCTGACCATCTGATCCCGTTAGTCTCCTCTTACGGCAAGCATGGGTTGCTGAAGACCTAATCTCTACCTGGCATACCATGTTTCAAGAATGAATCACATCCATGAATGTTATTAAAGTAGAATTACGTCCTGACGTCGTTTACCCATTTTCAGTGAACGCCGAGAAGCTGTTATTGATAAACTGATGCATTGTTTCTGTGTAATGGGGTCATCATTTGACCGCTACATTGACATCATAAAATTTGAGTTAGCAAACAGTGGTGTTTGAACCTGCTGGGACTGCCAAATTGTACAAGCATAGCCCCCCTTTAATGGAGGTGAGGTGAATGGAGGTTAATGTCACGTTCAAGATTATTACACTTCTGTAGCGACATGCATGCATGTGTGTTTGAAGCTGCTTGTACTAGTCTTGATTTATGCCAGTTTCATATACAGTAAACTACGGTTATAACGAACTCAAAGGGACCACTTATTTTAGTTCGTTATAACCGTAGTTCTTTATAAGCATATATACAACAAATGGCCGGGACTAAAAAGATAGTTCGTTATATCAGTCAATTCGTTATAAGCGTGTTCGTTATAAGCGTAGTTTACTGTACCACAGTTTCCCATGGATGCCCTACTCAAACACAGAATACAAGATGACCAGACCTTGTTTTATACCCTGAATGCCAAGCGCCAGCAACAAGTACAATATTTTTTTACGTGATTAGGTTTGACGCAGCTAGGGAATCGAACAGCCGACCTTCCGCTATGCGGTAGACGCTCTATCCACTACACCTCGAAAGCGTAGTGGATCTCAAATAAATCTCAAGTAAAGATTTATTGATGGATCTGATGTAAACAAGTTGTTGATGAGCAAAGATTAATCCTTGCTGTTGATGGTTAGGTAGGACAAATATAGTATCCATGTAAAAGTACACATCAACATAATACCAAGACTAATTCACTGTTATCCCCCAGGCAATATCAGAGTCCGAGGTAATGTAACAAATCCATAATTATTAATTTAATATTTTTTTCTGATTTTGTTAATTATCATAAATCCGATCTCCACACGCTATAACGCAGGTTGGTATGAAACCCTTAATATAGAATGTATCTTGTACTTGATTTGAGTACTTGAAATCATGGTAGGGCTTTTTGTATAGAATCAAGACATTCAAACGTCACTGAAATGTCAACTTTTCGATAAAAATATTTCATTAAATTGGAACGGACGAATGACCCATTCCTGACAATGGGATATATATATGTATGTATGTAGTTGACATGCGATTGTGTGGTAAGGTATGCATTTTCACGAGTGCATTTCATTTCGGCAGAATGGTGGGGTAACTTAATCACTGACTGCCCGCACTGTGGCGGTGGGAGCCATGGCCGAGACGTTTGAATGACTACCTCGGTTCGCAGTCATTAGTAATTCGATCAATAACAGTAACAATGGCTTATTGTCCTCTATTGTCAAGATCCATTGCTAATGACAAAGGTATACGCTATTAGTGAAACAATAGATTAGGGTTATTATTCATTAATCCATATTCCTAATGTTATGTCAGACGAACGTGATCTATAAGATGTGTCGGGGGTTTCCAAATTATCTACAGTAAATAAAAGCTTCAAAACCCTTTCAATATTCATAAGAAATGTCTGCCAAAAGCAGAGCCGATTGCACGATTCCGAAATATACATGAGCATGTGGTTAAGAATCTCTATGTAATAGTGATGATACCAGGTGTTCGCGAAAACGTAAGTGTATTCTGCCCCACCGATGGCACCCGTCACAAACACACGCAAAGGCAAGTCAAATGAAAAAAGAATGGTTTGTTTTTTAATATTTTAATCTACAGTGACAACACCATCACATTCTTTTAACCGTTTCTAGTGGACATCCAAAATAATTATAGTTTGAAACTAAATATTAACTAAATTCATTAAAACGATAAAGTAATCATGCTAATTTCAAGATAAACTCATTTTTGTTATTATCACGAATAGTTCAGCAAAGTAATACAACAGCCGATTTGTCAGATTAACATGAAACGAAGCTAATATTCAAAGGGAGACAACTGCGATCAGACGGAATAGCAACTCTCCCTATCGATGCCCACTGCGTTGATTTGATTGGCTGAGCACCGGGTATTTGTTCAAAACACTGTTCGTGCGACCCCATGCTTTTTTACGTGACAATACTCCACGAAAGTTTTCATGGCTGCCAACTTGTTGATTGAATATCAGCTCGACACTATGTAGCCAGCAAGTGGAGACCTCACGACGATTCATACGCAGGATTAATCACCGGAATACATACATGGAAGCCGGATTACTTGACCCAGTGAAAGGTCCGCACAGAACAGGACTTAGACTTGTAAGAAGTTGACAGCTCGAGGGTAATCCGTGACTTGCAAAGGATGTGAATAATCCGAGGAGAAATAACCTCCATAACAGACCTGATTTGCCAGTCTTGCTATTGGATTTTATCACACAGTGACATACAACTTATAAACAGGAGATATCGCTGAAGGTAAAAGATAAGGAACAGAGGCTTCTGATCATAAACCCCTTATGGTTATTTATCATACCTAGGTTTGAGTAGGTATAAATAGTTCGTTATGTTTACGGTTTGTCACCCTGTGTTTGAGTGTCAATATCACATGTGTTGTTTCTGTTTAATGTAAGCTTGTATTTTACAGTATTGATCATATGACTGTGTAAATATATGTTGACATCCAAGAGGAGTACGAGCAATGTTTCTGTATCCATGTTTAGAATGGGTTGTCCTTGGTGTGCGTTAACGTGTGTGGAGTGTTTTCATTGTTGTTCGAGTATCATTGAAGGCGTTAAGGGCTTTAGCTTAAGTGAATGCCCGTATTTACCTTTGACAAGTTTACGAGACCTGGTTATTTATGTTTCTAGATTTTTTAATTTTTGTGATGCCAGTTTATGATACATCCAGGAGAAATGTCATACCTGTGTCCATATTGTAGTCGTCCAAACTGTGCGGATTAATCTTTCGCATTTCGTTACTGGGGTATTGTACCGTAACAGGTTTGACGGACCACCTGCTAAGGCATTGTATGATATTTCATCCTTCAGCAAGACCAAACTGTTACGTGTGTCCCAAGCTGGTCACTAATGAACACTCTCATTCTTTTTCAGACAAGGATTACAGATCTAGAGAGAGTTTTTTCTTGGCCTGCAACCGGGGCTTAAGGAAACGGTGAAATTCTGGACATTTTTCTGCCGTTGTCGCTTGGCAAAACGACAGTCGCAACAAGGGCTGAGTCTTATACTGTTGAGATACGGATGTGTGCGTTTGTTCGACTGGGATACTCTATGACAGAGGCGAATCGTGACCTCTAGGTATTGAGCTAGCTTAACCCGAAATAGGGAGGGAGCAAGGCGACCACCCCAACCCCCTCCTCTCGGGAGTAAACAGGGCAATGCTCTTTTACCCTTTCTTTTAGACACATACACGTCGGTTGCAAACACAGATGAATCAGGACCTATTTGCTTGATTGCCTGAAACTGAAATATTCTGCAGTGTTTCACCTGCATGCATGGTATGATGTGGACATAACTTAAATCCCTATCTGTGCATTCCGTGTGTTACTGAACGATTGGGGTTACTCTCAAAATAATTACGTAACCTTCGCAGCTTTTGATGTCAGCTTAATTTGGAAATTTATTAAGTATTCACCTCCCTATCGAAAATAGCCTCTGATGCTAATAACAGTTTTTATTGTGAAGAAGCCGTGTGTGGTTAGGCTGTGTGCTTGAACTACATTAAACACCACAACAGGTGGAAAGGATTTCACGTATACCAGCGAGGGCACTATCGGATTTACCTGTGAAGCCCGGGCGACTATGCATGAATGAGATGACGTTTACTCAGGTATGTGACCACAAAGACATTGGTATTTTAATGCAAAACCATATATGTATACCTTGTTTAATATAAATTACCATGAGTTATATACATTAATTCACAACAAAGGGACACGTACATACACGTCGCAATATAAGTGCAATAATCTTGGACGCGACGTTAGACCCAAATTCAACTAACCTCACCACTACAAAGGGTGAGGTGAGGTGAGGTTGAGCGGGGTTTAACGTTGCGTCCAAGATTATTGCACTTATATAGCGACGTGCATGCACGTGTGTGTGTGTGTGTGTGCGTGCGTGCGTGCGTGCGTGCGTGTGTGCGTGTGTGTGTGTGTGTGTGTGCTTGTACTAGTCTGGAGTGATGCCGATTTATAGTGCTAGCCCACTGAGATACCATGCCGCAGTTTAACATGAATACCCCACTCAGACACAGTATACTGACTCCGAGCCGACCAGTCCTTGTTTTAGCCCCTTAATGCCGAGCGCCAGACAGGGTAACAACAAGTACCATCTTTTAACGTCTTTTGGTATGACGCGGTCGGGGATCGAACCCCGGACCTTCCGCTCTCCGGTGGACGCTCTACCTCTAGACCACGGAGCCACTACAAATGGTATATGAATCGCCTTAAATGACCATAATCCACAAAACAGGAATGGATTAATACAAGATTATATACATCTTGTGTTGTATCCATTACCTAGTCCTGCACCATGACCGTGGAATATATTTTGTTTATTTAAAAAAATAATCTAGAAATGCATACAAAAGCAAGTCTAGCCAGCTCAAGCTAGCTCTATTCTGAAATCAGCATAGGGAATTTTTTTTTTTATTAGAATCAAGAAGGATATTGTGTAATATAAGATTTCAGAGACTAAATGTTAGTCTATCCATTGCCATGCGTTATCTACTACTCGAAATAAGTTTTAAAAAACACCCGATAGTTAATATGTCATGCAAAAAAATCGGGTTTTCTTTAACTAATTTTGAGCAGTATATATCATTCATGCACTAAACTGAGTTTATGTATTGTCTTTAAATAGCATAACCAAATCCAAACAATCCAAATCCACTCAAGTATGGGTTTACAAAACTGGGGTTTCAATGTATTCGTACGTGTATTAATACAACCAAATAATACACGGTTGATGTTTATTGAACATTTCATCATTTTTTACTGAATGAAAAAGTATGTTTTACATTCTGACTGAAAAAAGGCTACCCATCAGCGGGCATGTATTCTTATATACATTTTGTCTAACGGATCCAAATACATTTAACTCTACATGTAGAAATAGCAAGTCCGTTCCAATATGACCGCGTGTTAACCATGCAGTCTCCCTTGACATGCTATGCCATTATAAACCTTTCCTCTACACAGAAGTTAAGACTTGTGTACGACATCAAATGTTACACAAGCAGTCTTGTTAGCGTTTAATGTTTACACATGCACGTTTTGCTACACTTTAATGCCCGGTCACTTCAAGGTATTCTGCTTCCGACAAAACCAAAAGAATTGCAGTGTGTGTACATGGCCGGTGACTGACAGCATACAGAGGCTGTGTGTACTACTATAACATTGATGGAGTCTTACAACTCCGACCAGACTCCCAAAGGAGGAATCCCTTGACCAAGCCTGGCATTATAAGCATGATTCCTTTGTCTGGGAATTGTGAAGTATTAAGAATATGCTTGCTTCTATGAATCATTTATACGAAGGATTTTTAACAATGAAGAAAGGACAGTGGATGCTATGCGAACCATTACTGATACCAAGGCAATCGTCTCTATAACGTTTCTGTATTGAAGGTACTAGCCCATGGGTAATGGCTAAGTGGTGCATGAGCAGGCAATGGTCACGGGAAACGTTTAGTACATCAAGTTTGAACATGCTTTAGATCCACATTTAGACTTAGTACATTCACATTTTATTTCTGAAAAATGGAGAAAAACATAGTCTTTTGCTTTTTAGTTTCTTAAAGATGACAGAAAGGGTATACATATAGAGAAGAACATACTTCTGAGGTAATTTTTCACATGCTTTAGATTTAACATTTGCAGAGTCATATTAACATGAATACAATGTGGTCATTAAGAATTAAGGTTATTTACATTATATTTCTGAAAAATGAAGAAAAATCACAGACTTTACTTTTTACTTTCTTAAAGATGATTGGAAAAGGGTATACGTATTTGTCGTGAAAGAATTCGTGTCAGGTTTCGTGATATTACAGATGGTAGTTCCTTAACATGATTATTTGATTGGTAACATTTATGACATAATGGTTTTGGTGACGTGAGGAAGTAGGTAAAGTAATACGTTCTTACAAGTACAAAGTTGAGTCCTGAATCACACAGTCAGAGTGTTTGGGAAACCATGAGTAACTAGGGTTGCATGACAGTCACCATATCTAAACTTCTTGGTATTTAAAGCAAAACGCATTATGTATTGCTGATCATATTTCTCTGCTGTATGTCAGAGAATGTTCACAAGTTCTAACATATCGTATATTTATGCATTACTCGATCTGAACGGTAATCTATATTTCACATAAACCTAAAACGATATACCATATATACAGCCATTTAGACAGGACAAAAGGAATTGAAATAAATGTTGATATGTCAAATTCATCATGTATACATATCGAAAGGTTTAAAATGATATATACGAATAGCATAAAGTTCAACATAACGTGTATGAATACATGAAGTTCATTATTTTTATGAATATTGTAATGTTCAACAGAACATACGTGAATCGTTACTTTCAGCATTAACGTTTGTACAACGGATCACATATGGACATTCTTCGGTTCAGTTGAACATCTATGAACGTTTGTTGGCTCAATAGAACATCTGTGAATATTCTTAGATTATGTAGAATATCTGCGAACATTCATATATTATGTAGAATATCTGTGAACATTCTTCGGCTCAGTAGAACATCTATGAACATTATTAGGCTCAGTAAAAACATCGATGAACTTTATTAGGCTCAGTAGAACATCTGTAAATAGTCTTAGATTATGTAGAATATCTTCGAACATTCGTACATTATGTAGAACATTTGTGAACATTCTTAGATTAAGTAGAATATCTGTGAACATTCTTAGGCTCAGTAGAACATCCATGAACATTATTGGGCTCAGTAGATCATATATGAACATTTTTAGGCTCAGTAGAACATATATGAACATTAATGGGCTCAGTAGATCATCTATGAACATTCTTAGGCTCAGCAGAAAACCAGTGAACATTTGTAAGCCCAGAAGAATATCTATGAACAATATTTAGCTCATTTGGCCATCTATGAACATCATTAGGCCCAGTTGACAATCTATGAACATTCTTCGGCTCAGGAGAACATATCAGCATTTTGTAAGAGCAATCATTACATATGAATATCGTGAGATTAACACAAAATATATGAATACTTTAATATTAAATATGTCATATGTATTGTTATGTACGTGTACAAAAATATATCATAAATGTGTAAGGTAAATGTGAACTTGAATCTGAATCAGATATCAAGCACCAGAATATGTATGTATAACTACATCATGTATACAGCAAGCCCAAAGTCTTGGGATAACACGCCAGAATCTATGACCTAGCCTAAAGCTCTAGCCTTTCCCACGACTGCCCGACACTGGGCTTTCAGACGGAAATGCACGGTACAGTCAAACTCATTGCATACGTCCCGTGCTCGATGACAATAGCGAGCTACATCGCAGCTTGGGGAACTAATAAAACACTTCAAGAGGGTAGCATACCTGACAGGGCGAACAAATAGCAGTCTTATTCATAAGTCCCTTGCTGGGACTCGGTATTAATAGGTAGTAAATGTGTTTGTATCAAAGTACATATTGGGGCATACCTTTCTAAAAGAAGCCATAGAAACAATTAAAACATTCTTGTGATCTTTGTTGTTCCGTTGAGGTCATTCTATTAATAAATATAGGGTTCCTTATACATGGATAGTTACTTTACTTGGTGTCATCACTGTTTTTTAGTGATCCATTCATATACTTTTCACCTCTATTCTGCCTTTACGCCCTATAGAATCTGTTTCCGAAGATATTCGAGACTTATTATTCTCTGGCGATGACGTTTTGAACTTACTGTTATATATAACATAGGATCACAGCTCCCTATGGAACTGAAACACAGTGTTTATCGAAAACCTAACTGGCAAGTTTGAAAAATATAATGCTTGGACATTCTTGAAAACAATATACAATTTTCTTGCACTAAACTGACCGTGTAATGCTATAAATGTGATTTAATTGCCTTTAATTTTGTCATTAAATAGACGATAACATTATTAGAGTGACCGTCAGTGAAAAACTATCAAGTAGCAGAAATGATAAACATGGGATGTGGACAGAGGGCATTTTGAAATGAGCACAGAGTGAGGTTGAGTCAATGAAGTGGCACATATTAACACCATTTGATAGCAAGCATAAAGCCAGTGTGATAATCAAATGAGATTAACGTCAATATTTACCTTAATGAGCGAGATGGACTCCTAGATTCACATTTAGAAGGAATTAAGGACGAGGATATTAGCGTATTGATAATACGTAGGGGTTAAATGAAGATGGGAGAGTGTAGGAAATAAATAATATTTACCTTAGTGAGCGAGATGGAGTCCTAGATTCACATTTAGAAGGAATTAAGCACGATGACAAAAGCGTATTGATAATACGTAAGGGTTAAAGGAAGATGGGAGAGTGTAGGAAATATATAATATTTACCTTAGTGAGCGAGATGGACTCCTAGATTCACATTTAGAAGGAATCAAGCACGAGGATGTTAGCGTATTGATAATACGTAAGGGTTAAATGAAGATGGGAGAGTGTAGGAAATAAATAATGTTTACCTAAGTGAGCGAGATGGACTCCTAGATTCACATTTAGAAGGAATTAAGCACGATGATAAAAGCGTATTGATAATACGTAGGGGTTTTCTAAGATGGGAGAGTGTAGGAAATAAATACAATG